TCTGTTCTGACCAAACGTACACAGAAATGAAAAGGGGAATATCGAGAGTGGTTCATGCTCCTGTGATGTGTAAATGCTCGGCCTGTAAAGTTAGAGTTTAGCTTGTGGAAGCAGCGAGAAGAAGAGGGAGTCATAGCCAGACGGCGGTGGGGGAAGTGCAAAAGGAGGCCTACAGCTGTAAGAGGAGTGGAGTCATTGGTGGGGAAGGAGCAATATGGACAGTTCTGTACATTAGCTGTTACCAACCTTTTATTTTTTAAAGAACAATATGAGGTCAGAGCAATGATTTACTGCGGTCTTCTTCTTCTACTTTGTCTTGTTTAACGGCAGTTGGAATCCTGCTTAAGGTGCATTACCGCCACCTACTGCTCCAAGTGTGGACGTATGCCCCACAAACTAAGGAACTAAGGCTCAGGTAATGCGTGAAAAGCTGCTTGACATTAACAAACAGCTGACGATCATCACAGCAGAGGACTTTAATCATGCAGATCTCAAAGTGGTCATTCCAAAACGACATAAAAATGTGAATTTCCCAATCAGAGAAAACATAGATAACAATCATACAGCAACAAAAGAGTAAATTATTTGAACTTCAAATATTTTATGTTTGACAAATATTGTATCTATATTTTTGAAAGTATATACAAGTCGTTAACTACTTTTTATCACTCTTAGTTAATTATTCATCATTATCATTTATTTATTACTGTTCACTGCTCAGATGATGATTAATTGTGTTAATATCTCTGCTGTAACGTCTCTGTGTTGTAGAACAGGTCTTATCTGTACAAAGGGAATGACATGACAAGTTTTTATACGGAGCATTCTGCACCCAGTGGCTGAATCTCCATGGAAGCTCCATCACAACTGTCCATAACCTCACAGCGTGAATCCTGTCAGACTGTTGCTCATGTGGCGCTCCCTCCTGCTACTCTGGCTGCTACTTAGAGCCAGTTAGAGCTGAAAGATGGTTAATAATTCACATATGTGTCATGGTCAACCACAGCCTGATGTAGAAAAAACATTCCACATATACAAACATGCATCAAACATACAAGATGTGACTTTGGCCACTAGGTGTGTCTCAATCGAAACAAGAAAGAAAATTAAAAACATCCTCATCCCAGACTGTGACTAAAGGTGAAACTGAATTATGTCAGCACCTTTAGATGAGATAGTAGGAGTCAGAAATGAAGACGTGATGACATCCTGAACTGATCTCACGAGAAACTATGTGACAGTATGTCTCTAGCGGCAAAAAGTGAGTGATATGGCTTCACATCCTCTCGCAACTAAAAAAATATTTAATATGTTCTTCAACTGAAATCTCAGACAAACACCTCCAGTGTATAAGAAACTATAAAACTCCTCCATTGTCTTCATTATTTGGTCTGGAACTTGAAATGTTTTCCTGCTGTTAACTTCTTTCAGGGAGAACAAACACTGAGGGCAACACCTTTCAGACCGTTGTTTGAACTTGAACCAGGTCCATTTGTGTTTGCTCGCTCTCTTCTTTGAAGCTCAGTCCAGCTACACAGAGAAGATATGAAATCACAAAACACAGTCAATCATCATATGGACACCATCTTATGTAATCGGACCATTTCTTTTTTCCTTTTCTATTTCTATTCCCTCTGTTTGTTTTTCAAAAGAATTACAGATTGTAATGTGGCAAAAGTTCAGATGGAAAAAAACACAGTGGCAGTCACTGGCAGTGACATATGTTTTTCACACATGTAAAAGTTTGAACTCAGGCATGTCATTTGCATTTGATTTCCATTGTATGTGAGTAAATAACATAACTGCTTCTAGCGTGTTTGCACTTCCTCTTTGAGGGCAAAGGAAATGCATCCCTTACATCCGTGACACAAGCATTTAAATAGTCCAAATAAACAGGCATAAACCTTTATATCTTTATAAGATGAACAATACAATAATACTTCAACATGTTAGGAAAAATATATTTATTTTCTTGCTTACAAAGATAGGTGAGGGGGAGCTAGGCTAGCAGCTGCATCTGGTCGGTTTACTGCACTATATAGAACAGTTTAATATAAATATAAATAAAGTTTAGGTCTCAGGTTTAAATGATGTGTACATGTTTATGACTTCATGCAGATAAGATAAAATCCCGTCTGCCTGGACAGTATCAGCATCATCTCAGTTGACTCTTGAGCTGGACTGCATCCGACAAACTTTAGAGATAGATGTACTGGTCTAAATAAATATAAACTGTGTAGAGCAACAATCGCACAAATGTACAGAGCAGCCCTGCAAAAAAAAGGGAAAAAAGTGACAAACACGCTGGAACATTCCAGATTACATAACCATTTCTAAGGAATGGTGTGTCAGAGTGGCCAGTTCATATCATCTCTAACTCCATTAACCATCATCAGCAGGCCTCTGTTAACATTCATAATGAAACTGTCTGTCAAAAGGATGTGGCAGCTTCGGCATCCTGTGCTCTATTTAAAGGTCAAAAAATCCCTCGCTTAACATAGCACATGTTTAGCAAAGCAACACGAAGCAACACAAGTATTAAAAGTGTTAATGCTCCACGAGCACACCAGTAACATTCTCAGCCAAATCCTTTAAAGGTTCAGTGTGTCGAATTTTGGGACATCTAGTGTTGAAGTTGCATGTTGCAGCTGAACACCCCTCACCTCACCCTCTCCTTCTAAACATGAAAAAGAACCTGTGGTAGCCTTTAATTCAGTCATAAAAACTCAGAAGGTGTTTAGTTTGTCCAGTCTGGCCTCCATAGAGAGGGTCCCCTCGATGTAAATGTAAAGTATTTAAATATAAAGTATTTAAATATAAAGGGCCTTTTCTGGGGTAAAGAAAACTACAATTCATACAATTTAGATGAAACGAACTAGTGAAAACATCATGAGGATTATTCTACATTCTGCCAATAGTTCCCTTTCACCTAAATCTTACACACTGGACCTTTAAGATCTACGTCTATCATGCAGAGTCATAAACTGGATATAAAGATGGACATCATGACTGCTCCCAAGAATGAAGCCTTGGTTTCTCACTGGCTTCTATAGGAGATAAACTCTGCCTCCTCCACATTATAAGCCAAACTAAAAAGCCAAAATATTTTCTTCTCAAAGATGTTTCCTCTCATTTTCGGTTGTTCTTATCACACGGATGTCCGTCCAAGTGTAAGTTTCGGTTTGAAGAAAAATGAAATGGAATATTTAACGGCTGAGCTCATGATTGTTCTGTGAGTATTGGCAAGACCTTGTTGGCAGCGTTCGTATCAAAGATATTTTGGCTTATGCATCCTCCATCTTTGAATACAGTATTGTGTCAGAAATTCAAATGTAGCTTCAAGATGTGAATGCTGCTGTGTACCTTGGAAGATAGAGGATAGTAAATATGTTGCTGTAACAGTTTGCAGTGATGGATGAGTAACACCCAAAACAGTGACTCCTTGTAAAATTTTGTTGCGTAAGCGGTGGTATGAAAATATTTCAAGCTTTAAAATGGACTCACACAGTGAATTAAATGAATAAACAAATAAAAAAGAAACTTGAAGGTATCAGGGCAAACAGGAATTAAACATGGGAGATAAAGGGAAGGAGAAAAAAATGGATAATGGTGCCTCAGTCCTATTCATTCTGAAATATCTGCACATATTTCTTATTTTTAGACATCGTACCACAATGTATACTGTATACTGTTTTCACAGTCATCCATCCACAAGAGTCTTCTGTTATTTGCTGCTTCCTAAACAGCGCTCTGTGACAAAGCTGATAAAAAAAGTTCTATAAATACATTTTACATGACTAGCCCTTGTCATGCACACTCCCATATTATAGTTGTTTTCCTGATTCAAACATTTAACTACCCTGGACTGTCTGTGACTGGACTTCTGGTCCCTCTTGACTTGTAACCCCAACATGTTTGTTTCCACAGAACTCTGTATCCTTTATATTATCTGTCGATTGGATTTACAAACTCCAAACATGTCCCTTTTTATTTCACTGTTATTTGAATATGTATATTTGAGGTTTGGACTGTTGATCAGACAAACAAGCAGCGTGGCAACGCTGCCTTGGGGTCTGAAAACATGTGACGACCATTTTGCCATCGAAACAACGTCCTGCCTGTTTGTTTGGCCTGTGGTGATACCGGTTGTGGTTTTCTTTCTGAAACTGTAAAAACCACCTGCAGTGATTGATTCAAAGGTTGGTGAAGCTGGACACAGTGCGCAGAACCCCGAGCTAGAGAATCCGTTGATGAGTCCCAGACCACGCTGCTACAAAGCGCTGGTTGTGTCTTTATTCAGTGGACTGAAGGACAGACGGACAGATGGAGGGACAGACAGACAGATAGACATAAAGACAGACGGGCAGATAGACAGCAAGATTTCTGGAATTAGATAAATTGACAAAGTGATTATGGATCAGTCAGTGATGACAATAATGATTCCATTCGTCTTCCGTCTGCTCAGGAAACGTATTCATTCATCTTACAATTCTTGTAACGGAGCATCACTCGAAGACACCCATTGTCCGTCTGCCTGAAGCCCCCTCTTATGATTGATGAACACACATTTCCTCTCCACGGCCCTGCTCCTGTGAACTCTGTGTGTGTAGCAGCCAATCTCAGCCACTGACTTCAGGGAAGTCTCCTAAAAACATTTGCATCAGCTGCTCGTCTTTCCGTGGAGATGAATTCCTTCACCCTGATTGGCCAAGTTATGGCAAGAATGTGGGATGACTCTTTTCTCTTTTTTATTTCTGCTTGACCAGACAGCCCTCTCCTCCTCCTCATAGTCGTCCCCCCCCCCCCCCCCCCCCCCCCCCCCCCCCCCCCCGATCGGGACTCCTCGGGTGGTGATAACGAAGCAGAGCTGCTGGGCTGAAGAGGAGGAGGAGGAGTGGCACACTTCACCAAACTTCCCCGAACTTGCCGCGCCGCTCCTCCCCGTTAACAACGCGTAAAACACAAGGTTACCAACTTTCTCACGACTAAGTTCTCTTGAAGTAGCGACAGTTCACCACAGAAGTGAGAGTTTGGATCTTTTTTTTAAGTGAGAACAAAGTTTGGACATGACAGGACTCAGCGGATAGAAAACAAAGCGCTTCAGTCGTCTCCCTGACCGCGCGTCATGATGAAGCCACTGCTGCGCTCCAGCGTCTGTCTGTGGACCCTGCTGCTCCTCTGCGCGCTCCCACAGGTGAGAACACCCCCATTCACATGCACAGTGGTTAGAATTCAAACCAAGTGTTATCGAGGTTTCATCCAGGCGAACAGGCCGCTGTGTTCGGATGGTGATGGTCAGAGTGGCTGCTGCACCTGTTGCGCAGGTAGCTGCTGCCAAAGGCTGCGAACGACCTCTGGAGACTGGCACATAGAGTTAGTCATAAATAAAATGAATACATATAATGTGTGTCAGGATGAACTTAAAACAACTATTTTAAATTTGCTTTACAATTGTGGCCCATTTAGAGGAAGATGTGGGAATTAAAAATGCACGTTTCATTTCTGTTTACTACCTAAAGGAAGTGCTCAGTGGAGATTCTTCACATTTCAAATTGGTTATGTCTTCATTCTGGATGGCTCAGCTCAGTGACCAGTGTGTGACAAGTGTGTGCTGCTCATCCATCAGAGCAACAGGTCACATACAGTCACAGATACTGTGACCCACCTGTCCTTGTCCCACTGGTCTTTCTCGTCTGTCTTGAGAGAGATAGATAGATAGATAGAGACAGACAGAGAGAGAGAGAGCAAGAGAGAGAGAGAGGCTGAGGGAGGTTGAGAATGGCATGTGAGGATGTGTGTGGCCAACACAAAGGGGTCAGGAATGGAATGAGGTGCAGCCCAGTGTCCCTGTCCGTCCTGCAGCCACAAGGGACGCACTCACACACAGGGACTTAGCTGTACCTCAGAGGGTTAGTTTGTCATGTGCAGGTTCTTTAGTCCTGATAGATTGACTGGTGGTACGAGCATTCAGGAGGAAACCTTCACCACTAATGTGGATACTTATATTTGTCGGGCAAATACAAAGAGCCTCTTGCTCTCTAAAACAAAGGCAGAGGTGGTTTCACGTTTAAGTGACATGAAGTCTGTAAATGTGGACGTCTGGGTGGATATTTACGGTACAGAAATTGAAATGTGCGACTTTGACACCAAACGTCGTACCAACAGTCGGCCTTGACTTCCATGACTACCGCAAAGTTTGCCACACCTTAAAATAACCATAGAGGTGTTTTATCATAGAAAATGAGGACATTCTGCATTATATGTCCTAATCTCTTCTTAATGATTTATGCCACATCCCATCTGATATTAAATACATTTTGTAGATGGGAGAGGATTTGATTCGACTTGAGCCGAAGAGCAAAAACTTCAGAAGCATGTTGTCGACTGAACACTGCGGCCTCCTCTGTTGGTTTGTTCTGTCGAAATGAAACGGTCAACGCTGTGAACTGTTATTTACTTTATTTATCAAGTAGGGAAGTTCATTCTTGACCTTGCAGAGTAGGATATACAATGGAGTGCTCCAGAAAAAGTGAGTTAAGAATGTTGGTGGGTATTTAGCTGATCAACATGTGCAAATGTGGATGAAATATTGTGGACGGCAGGTTCACAGACTGATGGGAACTCGTTTCTATTATTGAATGAAACAGTCTTGAAGATTTAAATTGTTTTATTTTTAAGGCAAAAAAAGAAAGAATCTCATGTCCTTTAAATTTTAGATTATGTAATCTAGACGTGTGATTAGAAATGAAGTCAGACGAGACCGTCACATACAAATCTCAGGACTTTCTTGTTTCAAACCTGCTGCACCTCTAGCACCTTGTGATGAAGTGAGAGATTAGATGTCTGATTGTTGACCCCGGTTTTAGGGAACTTTATTTAATGAACTGGTAGAAAACAAGTGCATGTATTCACACCTTTGAAACAGTTTATTTTTACATGCCTATCTGAGCTGGAACAGAAAACACCCAAAATAAGAGGAACAAAATATACTTATTTTTTTTATTCCTGTCTATTCCTTTCTTATTCTCCCCCTTGTTTTCTTTTCCTCTCCTTTCGAGCAGCATCATTGAAGTTGTTTTAGGCCACACAAAATGCCGCGTCCCATCTGCATGTAAGCAGTTTTAGAATTTAACTGCACAAAAGCTGTTAGCAAAGATACAAGCATCAGCAACTTTTATAGTTTATTAGTCGTGTTGCGTTTTTCACCGGTAGCCGAAGCTACCGTCGGTTGTTTTCTTCTGAAAAGGAGGCATGTAATAGGAAACTGACAAATCAGCGAAGGCCCAAAAAGACCTAATCAGCAAACAGTCGTGCCTACGTCATTGTTTCCAACCATCTCCCTTTCTGCCCGTCCAGACTAAAACCCCAACCCTAAACTAAAACAGGGTGAGTAACGTTTCCAAACTCAAACTCCGGAGAAGTGTGGACACCAGGTGTATCCGTAGCCGAGATGATGTGAATCGAAAATTAAACGTAGTAGTACGTAACATTTCTCTTCTCATCATAGGCGTGTCGACACTCTCCCCTGTCACTCGCAGCTGTCAGTTTAACACACATCACTCGAAGACAGGAAGCTGATGAGGCTCAGCAGCATCAAACCACATGTGGCAGCGGGGCATCACACCTTGGTCGTCTTTACTGATGGAAACAAGACAGTTGTAGATTAAAAATATCCGCAGTTAATTCAGGGTCTCTCCTCTTTCGAGGATCAGTATTTAGATCAGGGTCCTCATGTGGATTTTAGTCTTCAGGATGCATCAGATAATAAAATTTACTTCCAACATTGAAATTTAAAAGAAAAATGTACATTTGGAAACATGGTTTGACTAAAAGCAAAAAAGATGTTAAAGATGAAAAAGAGGAAATACTTGAAATTACCAAAGTTTTTACATATTGTCAAGTGCTATTTTTAGTATTACACATAAAAGTACATATTTTAACTATTGTTCTACAGAGCTGATACCTGGTAAAGGTGCTCTGTTTTATTAAGTTGAAATTTCAGTTCCTCTTTAAAAGGGCTGTGACTGATAAGGCAGAGTGAACAATAGTGAACAGTGAGAAAGAGAACAGCTCACACAACCACACTGATGTTTTTCACATGTTCAGGATCACTACACCTCCACCAGGATTGACTTCCTGCTTCAGTTAAATTGTCTGGAACCAGTTGAAAATATAGTTCCTTATAATTTTATGTGACAACCTGTGGGGACCATTAATGTTTGATATGAACGTTTTTTTTTTCTTCATGACTATATAACACATTATTCAGTCTTAACTTTCAGTCTGTAGATCCATTTGGTAGTTCTAATTTAAATGAAAGCAAATTAGTGTGACATGGGATTGAAAAGAGTAAAAATGATGATGTTGACGGAGTGCATGCAAAGTTACAGCATAACAGTCCCTTATTAATGAACCAGGAAAAGTACAAGACTTTGCATGTGTTTATCAATGTATGCTGTCTTTCTCTCTCTCCAGCCATCCGTTCATTTCTCTGTCTTTCTCTGCCTGTGACGTCCTCACAGAAATGAGAGCGTGATGACGTGGCTATCAGTAGGAAACATCTTGGAACAAGGAAATGTGACGTTTTGAAGCAATGGCTTGTCTGTGGCTGTGGAAAGTAACTTTCTGACGAGCTGCCTGGCACTAATGTAAAAATTGGATGACGTCCGATACTCGTCAGAAAAACAAGCGTCTTTCTCAAAAATGTATTAATCTCACATTGTATTCACATTTGAAAGCATAGGCCTCCTTGTTTTGCATCCAATTATTGGTGCAAAAGTTGCAAATCAAGTCCTCCTTTGTGGAAGACAGCACCGTCCACCCACTCGCAGCCCCCCCATTCAACCATATCAAGACAGTCCCATTTCAAATTAACATCCCCAAACACGCTGCCCTCAGCCAGGGCTGCAGCTGGAAGTTCAGCGTGCACAAGCTGAATCACAAAGAGTCACAGTTCCCCAGTCCATGTAAATGAGACACAGGCTCCTCTCTCAGCCTCAAAGGCCTTATTGTCAGCAGACAGCTATCGTTTTATCAGTGGCCTCTGAGCAAATCATGGCTAGGAGAGGCTGTAGAAGGGCTAAAAAAATATATTATTTTTCTCTTACTTGTCTCTCTATCGCTCGATATTACAGCCTTTCCTAATAGAGTGCTGGATTTCTTCAAGCAAGATTTTATTTTTTAAATGGCCCATTGGTAGTAAATGACCATAATATATAAACATGCATTAGTGGCAGTTTGACAGGGGGTTTGTTGGTCGGAATGCTTCTGATGACCAGGTGCTGAGGTATCTGGTGTAAAAATAACTTTTTTAGTCACACAACCATAGGCTGTTTATAAAGATGGATGACGCATCTCGGCTTCCCCCCTTTGCACAAAAATGGAGCCCAAATATCTCCGATCCGATACTGCCATCTTTAATTTAATGTCATCTGGAGCCAGAGTTTACACAATCAAGATCATGGAGTGGAGATGTGGCATCAAGGTCACTTTGATACATGCACTTGTCAATGTCGGCCGTCAAATATGATCTCTTAGTTTTTAGAGCATCAAATATCTCAAACCAAATTTATCCGACAAATAAATCCTTGAACAACATGTGATAAGAACTGATAAGAACAGAAAAATACATTTAATGGGTTTAATTTGGCTTCACTTTTAGGAGCAGTCATGTTGTCCATGTTTATCCACAATGTATGGATGCAACACGCAATGTTGGTCCAGGCTGAAATAATAATTCATTGTGATCTTGAGACCTAACGTCTTTATTAACAGACGTCTTTATTCACATAACTGCTGATTAAAAGGTTTCATGTTTGCTGTTGTTGATAGTGATTAATAAAGTGAATGATTCAATGTCTCTATAAGGACAAAATCTATGCCATCAATGCATCAGTGTGTATGTTTGCATTGTATATATGAGAGAGGCAGAGACTGTGAACTGCTGCAGTGAGGAGACTCAAATATAACTTTAAAAATAAACGGTAGGGGTTGTTAAAACGCCTAAACTATATATTGTGATAGTTCGCAGACGAGAACACGTCGCACCCCAAGCTCCACTTCAACACACACATCAAGAGGAAGCTCTGATGGCAAGTGTGATGTGTATCAGCAGCTCATCAGCTCAGGGCCGGGGACAGTAAATACTATGTCACTCATTTCCATAGCCTCCGATGTGGCCCACGATAGCAGCAG